TCTTAAGCCTGCCTTTTCTACCTGGTTTTTGACTTGGACTGCCTGTTTTCCCTTTGTATGCTGTTAAAAGCCAATGCAATTTTATCCAGTCTCCCTCACCTCTGACAGGCTATCGCACCTCCTGCTGTCTCTTCTGCCTTTGCATCTTAAGCATATTTCTAGAATGAACTGCTCAACTCATACAAACAACACTGAAACCTACCTTTAGGTAATAACCCTGGGTTGAAACCTGTGATAGCAACAACATGCAAAATCCTGCTGGTGTGGGGTCATGCATGAAATTTGTCTCTTATGATGCATAATATAGACTACTTGTGTCCTCATAGTGCCCTCTTGTGGAGAAAATTAATCCTTTATTTTTCATAACATGAACATTAAAATTGTAATCTTTTATATGCTCCTACTTTTTTCCACAGTTTAAATGACACATTGCTCCACAAATTAGGACTAACACTTTTTTTAGAATACTTTCTATAACACATGTATTTCCTAGCTTTTAGCTATATCTACAAAATTTATGTACAGTCTTGTACATGAAAAGTCTATTTGAGATAATAACTTGACACACTCTGAGACAACCGGGTTTTATGTGATTTGCACATGAACAGAAGTTTCTATTGCTTAAACCCTGCCTCATCGCTCCAGCCCAAAACTCAAAAAGGCTATATTTCAAGGTGAATTTATGCAAAACTACACATTAAAAAACAAACGGTGCCAGCTATCTTGAGCTATGTCTATCTCTTGCTGCTTTAATGCCCCTTATTAATTATAGCAAGTACTGACACTTAAAGAAAGAGGAGAGCCTTATTGAGCTGATTCAAACCCAGCCTGCAAATTGCTCCTTGCTGGTCAGGACCATAAAAAGCTCTCAAGAGACTCTTTTAATCGGATAGGCTATGGTAGCTGTTGTGTTATAGAAATGCTACCTAAGCATTGCAGGGCCGCATGATCTGTTTTGGACAAGGGCCTCCGGCCCGAGCGAATTTGCACAACACAGGACCGGCCCAGGGAGTGGACAGTGGGAAAGAGAGAAAAAGCTGAACAGAGCTACTGTCCTTCCAAGTGCTCTTGTCTGGCTGACTGGGGGCCTTTAAACCCTCCTTAAAGTAGCTATGACAGAGCAGAATGGCAGGAGAGAAAGGGGATAAAGCTGCCTCTGTTGGCCAGTTGGAGGGGCTTTAGTTGCCCTGGTCCCCGCACAGGGGGGACAGTGTGTTCTGAATGTGGCGCTTTAGCCGCTAACTGCCATCAGAGGCTTTGGGAGGGGAGGCATTGTAGCTGGCAGTTACCAGGCAACTATGAGACTTGTATTCAGAACGCTTATTCAGAAACCTATTCCTGAACTCTTGGAGAGACCAAGAGGAGAAACAAAGCAGAGTCTTTCTGGACTTACTTCAGCAGTGGACTGGGCATGGTATTTTTATCATTTAAAACACATTTGATTGTGTCAGAAGGAAAAAATTAAGTTCCACTTTGCAAATGGGAGCATAATTATCCAGTAATCACCTACCTATCTAACTGTGGTTATCTATCTGCAACCAGTGTCGCCAGAGAAACTTGTTTTTGAGTGATTTTTGGCCTGCATTGTGGAAAAGTGGAACAGGGCAGAAGATTTGAAGTGTTTTTAAAGTTTGCATCAGTGGAAAAGATGACTTTTGTCATCTGTCTAAAAATTTTCTTTGTTTTATTCCATTCAAAGTATTAATTGAGTTGAATTAATCCAGTTAAGTTGCTTTTTTACCACTTTAAGTTTTTTTTTTAGGTTGAATTTTACAATGTGGTGAAACAGAAGTTACACGTTTCAAAAACAAAGGCTCTTAAATGTTTTCTGGCTTGGATGTAAAGTTCTTCGATATAGAATAGAGCAGCTGTTTATTACATTGATACATCTCTATATAATATTCGAAAGCCTCGTCTTTCTTTCTAGCCACAAAAATTGTAGCCTAAACACATTTCATTAGCAATGGCCTTCGGATACAGCATAAGAGGGGTATCTGCCTAGCCGCTCCCAGAGTGGTCCTCCTCATGTTCAGCTCCAAAAGCTCCTCATCCCTCTACTCCACTCTCTGTGGTTCAACTGACCTCAACACTGAGGAGCTGAGTGTTGCCCTCACTGCTGCTTTCCAGGCTAAAAAAAAAAGCATGATTTCTCTAAATATAATAGCTCAACAAAATAAATAAAAGCAATCAACTAAAATAAAACTACAGCCATGATGGTGAGACATACAATGATAATTCTAATTCACGCTTAGCGTCTACGTGATTCATGACAGCTGTATTTGAATGAGAGAGCAACAACAGCATACAGGTAGCTGGGCTTCAGCCTGACTATTAATACACTGTTGCCGCTTACTGGATATATTTTCATCTACAGTAATGAACCTCCTTAAAATGATGATTAATGCAAAAATTATTGATTGTAATGTATTTGAGGACTTTCGCAAATACTACAGTAATGAAGGTATTTAAAATGATGTTTAACATGAATATTATTGATTTTAAGGTGAGTATATGAGGACTTCCACAAGTTCTACAATAATGAACATGCTTAAAATGATGTTTAACATAAATATTATTGATTTTAAGGGTATTTGAGGACTCGCAAATACTACAGTAATAAACATCTTAAATGATGTTTAACATATATGTTATTGATTTTAAGTGAGTATTTGAGGACTTTCTCAAATACTACAGTATGAACATACTTAAATGATGGCTAACATAAATTTTATTGATTTTAAGATGAGTATTTGAGGACTTTTGCATATACTACAGTATGAACATGCTTAAAATGATGGTTAATATAAATATTGATTTTAAGGTGAATATTTGAGGACTTTTGCAAATAATACAATAATTCTCCTATTTAAAATGATAGTTAACATATATTATTGATTTTAAGGTGAGTATTGTAGGACTTTTGCAAATACTACAGTAATGAACATACTTAAAATAATGATTAACACAAATATTCCTGATTTCAAGATGCGTATTTGAGGACTTAATCAAATAGTACAGTAATGAACATACTTAAAATGATGGTTAATGTAAATATTATTGATTTTAAGGTGAGTATTTGAGGACTTAATCAAATAGTACAGTATTGAACATACTTAAAATGATGGTTAACGTAAGTATTATTGATTTTACTCGAAGCCTATAAAATGCTGCTAGGACCAGCCCCAGTATAGAACCTTCTGGTTCTTCAAACTTTGGGAGAAAATTTTACTAATTTTTCAATATTTCTGCGTAGTTAAATGGTTAAAATATAAACAAAGTCTATCAGAGTAGTTTGGTGTGAAATACTCTCTTCTAGAGAAACTTACTAAGTCAGAATTGTTCAAAGTGGTTAAGTTACTTAAATCTGTGAAGCTGTACTGACATTTGTAGCTCCATATCCTGTGTATGTGGGTTTGTATATATGTGTTTGTGGGTCTTCCTTTTGTATATGCAGCTGTACTGGGAGGAGCATGTGCCCCCCACTGAGCTCAGCTAGGATTCCGGAACAGCTGCTCAAACTGAATCAGCTCTGAGGGTCATATCTTCACTCTCAGTTCACTAAGTAAAGGGCTTTCCCTCGTTATTATCATGTCCATAATGCTCAGCCTGTACTGAACCACTTTGGAGAGTCTAAGTAAGTGCACAGGATGTTTGCTTCTTTAGTGATCTGTTATGTGACGCACTAGAATTAGAAAAATTGAAGCTTTTAGGTCGGTTTATGTGCAGCGTGATTTATACATATGATCTGTAAAGAGCTGGCATAAAGATACACAGAAGGAAAATGAGAATGCAAGTACATATGTATGTGTATCTGTCTCTGTCTATAATGTTTGTGGGTAAATGACAAATAAAGCATGCAATGGGGGGCATATGATGCCCATTTTTGTATCTACATGAATCTATTCAGTGTGTTGATATTATTTCATAGCTTATAAACAGCTTAAGCAATCTTAAAACTCAGAAAATGTCAGGTGGTGCAACCACACATCAATGATAAATATATTAAAACAGATTAAACAGGTTAAACTAGTCTTTGTATTTGGACACTCATATAAACATTTGTCCTTGAACTGAATATTATACAGATTTTTAAAAAATAAATAAACATAATCATAATAATAATTACTATAACACATTTTCATGGTTTTCTTAGGGTCACACCACTGACTCATCAAGGCGAACCATGACTAAAAAAATGGCTTTTTTCAATATTTCTGAAAGGGCTATTGATCTTGGCATTGCATTGTGAAGGTCATTTAGGATCTTCTTGTTGATACAATACCCAGCCTACTCTTTCATAAAAGCATGTCAGAATAAAAGTCCTTTTTTGACAGTTGCTCCATGTGACATTTGAGGAAATCAAAATTTTCTGCCAAAAGTTGGCAAGAAGTTAAATACTTTTCAATGTTGTGTTATAATTTTAAAGGTTTCAAACATAAAATCATGCAAATATTTTCATTTGGATTTTGTATGCATAATTAAATTATACTTTTTTGGTTGCTTAAACATCATATATGATTGAATGGTCGCACCGGCTGACATTTTTATACTTTTGGAGGACTAAATGCCTGAAATTATTATTTTTTGCTTTTGCATTTTCTGAAAATGTATTTAAAAGGGGGTATTGGAGAACTATACGATATACATCATGTTTTTATTCAATTATTTAAGAGGAATGTCAGATTTGGAAAAAAAAATCATGTTATTGACCCTCCTGTTTGTGTATCTGTCTAATAAGGCTGCCACAATTAAATAGTAAAGTCAATGTTTTGTTTACTTAAAAACAAAAGCACTATAAAACACTCAAAAATGTTCATATCATGGTCATTCTGACAGATTGCAGTACTCTAAAGGAAGTGTAGGGGGCAGTCTGAATCTGAATGATGGCAGTACATAAATGTGGGACAGTTTAATCGATTGATCTAATAATGGTCTATACATGAATCAATTACAGAACAAAATCACTGGTTTCAGCCTTAGCCTGATGCCTGTCCTCATACCGTTTGTGGTTCATGAGCAGCTCTCGGTGAAGCTCCTGGTGGCTTTTAGAGGCTTTCACTGGATTAATCAGCTTTTTGGGCTTGATGAGATCATCGTCCCCTTCCATATAATCCGGCTGGGGGGCGTAGCTGGCCACGGGGAGAATGTCCCTGTGTGGGTAACGCAGCGGGTCCCTGCATGGCCCATCAGGCTGATGAGGCTGTTCCCACTGGATATCAGCATAAGCTGAGGCTGGAGAGAGAGAGACAGAGACAGAGAGAGAGAGAGAGAGAGAGAGAGAGATAGAGAGAGAGAGAGATAGAGAGAGAGAGAGAGAGAGAGAGAGAGAGAGAAAGAAAGAAAAAGAGAAAGAGAGACTTTATTAGATTATGCAATAATGTATTCAGTGGTGAGTTGGCTGCTCAAAGTTAAATGCAGACATTTTAAGCATTTTTTAAAAACATTTGTAAAAGATATTATTATTTAAAGCTTGTCATAAACATTAACATATTGTAACATGTTAAAATTATGTTACAAAACTTTAAAAAGAACAAATAAGAATGAACTAAACATTATAGGCATGTAATTTTTATAGTGCAGAAATAATTAGAAGGCTTTGAAGGCCCTCAGAGTTCCCCACTGAATGTGTGTAACTTGAGACATGTATGCCTTAAAAGCAGTTATGAACTGCATTGAATTTCAGCTCAGACAGTCAGCTTTCTGTCAGTGTGTTATGAGGTGAGCTTTAAATGAATGAAGTTCATAATACCTTTATCATTTTCAAGAGAGGGATTAGAAGATCACCAGATAGACATTAAGTAGATTACGCCATATTTAATTATCTGCAACCACAATAAGGCTACAGATAACACATCCTTTCAAAATATAAACACTGTAGCCTTGGTTACTAAGGCAGTCAAACAATCTGAATCTAATCTAAATAAAGTAGAATATTATTGTTTTGTATATGGATCATTCTACTAAAATGTTTCGAAGTCAGAGTTCAAAACCCACTAACTTGGACCTTAGACTAAAATCCTATTGCTTTGAGTGACCCTATACCTTAATGATGTTATTTTATCAAAACAAATGATTGAATATTATATTTTATCACTAGAACACAATCATTACACTACTGAAACTTCACTAAATGTTTTGTAAGTGACTGATTCAGTAGTGACAATTTTGCATAATTTTGAGCATAACTAGAGACGTTATGAAGAAGGATGAATGGGAAATGAATGAGTCTGTATATAGGGAAAGTCCCGCCCTTCCAAAAAAAGAAGAGCCAGTTGGTTTGCTGGTAAGTCACAAGTGGGAAAAGCCCCCGTTTGTTGTGGAAATCTGCGGAAGTGCAGCAGCCAGAACAACCTGAAAAAACATGCTATTTGTGCTTTATTTAAGCCAGTGTTTCAAACGGTAATTCGGCCTTCAGCTTACATTTTTTTCCCATTCAAAGAGATAGGTGTTTGGTCTTGTATGACTGGAAATAACTGCCCAGTGGCATTGCCAAGATGGCCACTGAGTGAAAAGACTTTCCTATAAGGATACAGGCAATGCTCAAAAGTGCTAGCCAGTTCATATCTAGCAAACACAGCTTTGAACGGTAAACAAAATTCATTAGTAGAGACAGTTCTTAATATTACACACTGATTTTCAGACTTCAGGACACATTTACTTCAAAACAATGGGGTCTAACTGCTCACCATGTGGCCATGAGGGACAGGGATGCAGTCTCACTTCCTGCTCTAAAATGAAGGGTTGTGGCTAAAGTAAGGCTCCGCCCACATAGTACAACTCTTTAGCTGCATTGATTTGCACAGGGTCCCTAACTGTGGCTGATAAGTGCTTTCATTTGGAACATTCTGCAGCATCATAATCAAACATGAAGCAACACACATCTTCAAGAGACATGCAGTGACTGATGGGTGAACCTTCCTGAAACTTTCTGTGAAGAGATGAATACTCCCTATGCAGTTTGAGGTTCTCCTCCAATGAAACATTTTCACTCCATATGGTTTGAAATCACCCTTTAAATATCTGAATACCGTGTGCTGCTGTCCCTTTTTTGAAACGGACCCTTAGGGCAACTGGAATGCACCTTTTTTTTCTGCTAGTGAAAAAAAAAAAATGGGACCACAATCATTTTTTTAAAACTTTGTATTAAACTAATGTTAAAACTATTAAACTAAAAAATAAATCTATTAAATCTTAATCTTTCAACTTCACTTTAAAATAAATCTGTATCGCCGCTGTCAGAACAAAATCGTATCTCCATTATTGTCATTTTTCAGTTTTTGGCATAATTTGAAAAAAATTTCATTAAAAGTAAAGTACGTTTTTTCCTTCTCCTGTAAAATTACCATTTTGGAGAAATAAGGTTTTGTTCCGACAGCAAACCCCAACCCCTAACATATATATTAGGGGTTTGGGACTGCCACCTTCCATTAGAAAGTACCCTATAAATAAAGATTTTGTCTATATTTAGCTTATAACTATCTCAATTAATGCCTTGGTTTAAAATAGATCATAATGCAATCCTTGTAAATATCTACAGTATGAATCCTTTTTTTATATAGTAATAGTCACTGTGGAACTGCAATTTGAGCTATTTGGGTGGAATGGTCCATATTGTGTGTGTGCTCCTTTGTGTATTTTGGTGCAAAATGTGGCCGCTGCAGCATGAGCTCAGAACTGCAGGCAGAAGCTGATGGGAGAGAAAAGAAAGAAATCAGGCTGTGAGTGATTCCATGTGAGTTGGCATAATGTGTGAGTGAGTGAAAGAAAGACAGAAAGAGAAGGAGAGATAGAAGTAGCAGGTGAACAGTCAGCGTCTTAAGACTGTTTATATTCCTTTCTGGAGGAAATTCCTGAGATCCATTTCCTGCCTGCTGAACCCTGCAATTTGTACATCCAAACATCAGACCTCTAATGAGCCACGCACTACCTGACCGTTATTACAGACTGCTGCTGCCTTATAAGAAAGGAACTAAAGACTTAAAGGGGAATTCCACCTGCATAATGAAATGGTTGAGATGTAAACAAAGTCATTCAGAGCGGTTTGATGTGAAATGCTCTGTTTTAGAGAAATGTACCGAGTCACAGTTGTTCACGGTGGTGGTGATAGGAATCAGACATCTGATGCATTTAATCCCTTTGAGAGGTATTTACTGACAAAATTATGTCCGAAAACACAGTTTAATCCATTTATTTAAATCCATTCACAGCAGAGAGGTCCATACAGGGCATTCTGATGCAAAATAGTCCCAAAAGAAAATGGATTTGTTCAGATTTTGTACTGTACTACCATCGTCAACATCACATTTAAAAACTCAGAAGTGAAGCTGTAGTTACATTAGCCTTATATCCCCAGTACAAAATAAGAAGCAAACCTTAGATCCCAAACATGTCTTGGCTGATTAACTACATTTGAAGTAAGGAGAACAATATGCAAATTTGTGCAAACAAATCACTTTAACACAAGCAAGCAATTTAATTTAATACAGATGTTAAATCCAGCTCCTCAGCTGAAATATGAATGGGCCTATTGGCGCACTTGACTCTGCTGAACTGAAAGTGTAATTCATTGACCCTGACGCTTCTGACAGACAGCCCAGTGCTTGCCCTTTTCGTGAGGGAACCCGACAGGCCTCAGAACACAGCGGACTCCTTCGCCCCTTTATGAATGGAAAGATAAAAGGTGAAGTGATCCTTTGCAGAGTGACAGTGGAAAAAGATCAGGTGTCATATTCTCCAAGGCCGGATCGGAACAATGGCAGGGTTTGAGGAGGAACCAGAGACCATCTCCACTATTCAATATTAAAACCAGCATCACAATAGACTCCAAATCAGCAGTGCCTCAAAATCAGAGCAGGGTAGAGTAGGAGGAAGATGATTATAATGGATGAAAAAATCTGAAAAGATGCCTCAGAAACAAAGAGTATTATTATAAAGTTGAGTGATCCACTTGTTATAAGTTATATGTAGCCAAGTTTAGCTGTTTTGGATCATGACCAGTAGACGGTATTTGTGAATTGTGAGTGGTGATTGCCCACTGGCTGGAGATCTTGAGCTACATTCACATTACAAGCCTCATTGCTCAAATCTGATCTTTTGCTCAAATCCAATCTCTCTGACAGGATGGTTCACACTCATTTAGGTAAGAAACTCAAATCTGTCATTAATGTGAATGAACTGGCGTCCTGAAATGACCCGCATGCACGCATCCTACTCAGTAACATCACTTCAACTTGGTAATGTGAATGTAGCCTTGGCCACAACTCAAGAGGTCATGGGTCCCAGTTGGCTACACCATTGAATCATTAAGAAAAAGACTTAAACCTATGTTACTCATGGGTGACGGTCCCAGATGGGACAAAAGTGTTAAGTAGGCCAAAGCCAAATGGTTAATTGTGATGTCATCCCTAAATCACAGATACCCAGTTTAGCAACCAAAGATACTCAGTTTAGCAAGTATATCATTGTCTCTGGATTTCAGGCCCTTCATGAGGAGAGTTAAACAGAGAAAAGTAAGTAAAAACAGGACAGAGACTCCTATATGAAAAGGAATATATATATATATACCCTACACCTGAACTCAATAATTGGGAGGTGTGTCCCAATACTTTTGTCTATATAGTGTATATTCTGGGTCGCGGTGGGGCGCTGGAGCCTATCCCAGCTGTCATTGAGCGGAAGGCAGGATACACCCTGGACAGGTCGCCAGTCCATCGCAGGGCAGACAGACAGACATACACATTCACACACTCACTCACACCTAGGGGCAATTTAGCATGTCCAATCAGCCTGACTGCATGTTTTTGGACTGTGGGAGGAAACCGGAGTACCCGGAGGAAACCCACACAGACACAGGGAGAACATGCAAACTCCACACAGAAATGACCCTGGTCACCCGGCCGGGAATCGAACCCAAGCCCTTCTTGCTGTGAGGCGACAGCACTACCCACTGCGCCACCGTGCCGCCCCAAATTCACCCCCTTTCCATTTAAATGTAGTCAATTGGCCAAGACATGTTTGGAGTCCAAATTTGGCTTCTTTGGTGTAAAACAGGAGATATAAAGCTAACATTGCTAAAAAACACTAGAACTCAATAGACACCCAAATAGCCCAAATTGTTTCTTCAAAAATACATCCCCAAAACAGGCTTGTTGATGTGGTTGAAGCTGTGCGGAGCCTTTTCAGATCTTATTGATTCTAGCTCAGCTCTTACTTCTGAGGTGGTTTGTGAATAC